GAGCGAGCGAGTGAGCGAGCGAGCGGGCGAGAGACAGAGACACACGTATACATACACATGCGTGCAATTGATAAACCAGACCTCGAAACATGTTTACACCGTCCTCATACGATTTCACGATATGCAATTTTATGGAAATGTGATAACAACATATTACATCATGATGTACCGATCCAGTCGAAGCAACAAGAACTCTCCAAAATCGCAAACCCAAAAATCCTGAACCCAAGCCTAAAAACTTAAGCCCAAAGCCCTAAACCAAACCCTCGTCGGGTTACCTGTCTGTAAGGGTGACGCCTCGAGGACCGGCTTGTGAACGATCGCTAAAAGAAGAAAAAGACGGCGGGGAGCGACTCTCCCCACCCCGAAAATTCGAAACTCTCAGCAAAAACCTGCAAGACCAGTTACCGATTGGTGCTTAGGCCAGCAGCGAGTCTATCGAAGACTTCAACTGTCAAGCGCGAATCACTCGCAACTAAACCCTAAGCCCTAAACCAAAACGCGTCCCCATAACCCACATTAAGATGCACCTCTCTTCAGGCCACGATGCCGCTTGAACCCTTAAGCTCCCATACATCTACAGACACAAACACACACATATATATATATGTATATGTATATATATACATGTACACAGATATATACTATATACATATTTGCATTTACACCATGACGATGATGGTGATGATGGTGATGATGGTGATGATGGTGATGATGATGATGATGATGATGTTTATGATCTGTCGACTTCCCGCTGTTGCTATTATTTCTGTGATTCTGATGACTGCTAGACCAAGAAGTACTCGTGCTAATACTTCGAATTCTATTTAATTCCATTTCTCATTATCATCATGACGAGTACTTCTGTTCTTGCTACTATTACCATTATTATTGACCTCTCCAGCCCCAAACCCTGAACCCTGATTAAACCCGAAACCCTAACCTGGCTCCGAACTACGAGAGCCCTAAGTCCGACCCATTGGCAGGGAGTGCCTGCCACGCTTGCAACGTTGTTTGCTTGACCTGCTCCAAGAAGCGCGATTTGAGCTAGGCTAGGCTTTATAGGGTTTAAAGTTTCGGGTTCAGGGTTTAGGGTTTAAGGAATATTTGAGCGACCTTTAGGGTTTGTAGGTTTCGGAGTTTCGGGATTGGGGTACTAGTGTCTTGGAGTTGAGGGCTTAGGCATTAGGGTGGTCAAGGGTCAGTTAGCGGTTTCCAAGGTTGCCGAAGCTCGAAGACTTGCCTAATATAGAAGCCGGAGCACTTAGGTTTTAGGGTTTAGGGATACTCGTGTGATAACCTGTACCATACTATCATCGAGTTAAATCAATGAACCCCAAGGAACAGTGTTGGTAATTTGTCCGACCCTCGTATTACTCCTGGAGACCCTTTACACAGTGTAGCGTCTGTTCCTGTAGGGATATGATACCAAACACCAAACCAAAGAAGACATCCTGAACCATGTACCATATAGACCCTTTACAATTGGGGGGTATTCTCAAACGCTTCTGATAAGGAACCATATAAGAAATGATTAACAGTTATTTAATCCTCTATACCGCTTCAAACCCCCAATGCGCCCTACTCATTCGGCGCAGTAGAACTCTCAAACATACCCAATGCTGGAGGTCTCAATCATTGCAATAGTTACTATCCCTATAGTATATCTCCAAGCCTGTTCTGATTGTGCTAGGCTGCTATGCCTAGACGTGACTTGATACCGCACTCACCCTGTATAAAAGCGTGTTTGTCCCGTTCACTCTACCGAACCCCCCAAATCGGCGCTTTTGCGAAGAAAATACCGGCGCCACCCCTGTGTTTCCCATCAAAGGCTTTGCGTCTTTACCCGTGCCCCCCCCCCATCCGGGGTCGTTTGTCGTGTGGTCGTGCTGTTCGATTGGTACGTGCTTCGTGTGCTGTTGGTTTCTGATTTGCCGTTGCCGCTTCGGCGGTGTCTTGTTCTCGACTCGTGGTTGTTGGTGTTTGTGTGCGTTGCACAACTAAGTGTTTGGGATGGGGTAGGGCGGTGGTCCGCGGTGGGTAGCGGCAGGATGCTGTGTTTAGGGGGCGATTGAGCCCGGGGGGATAGGGAAGAGGGCGCGGGTAGCAGAGAGGGGCGAGCGGGGGACGGCGGGAGCTTGATGCTTGCAACACAATGAAGTCCACGGCTTCTTGCTGATGTTATGCTTTTCCCTTCCTATGATGTACCTCTCGGGATCGGTGCGTTTACGACTACAGTAGGACGAGGAAGTCATGTCCATCACTGAGCATGACACATGCAGCAAGATGCCACGAAGACCAGATCTGAAACTTCAGCTCCATCCCAAGGGACCCGAAGCCGAATCCGCCCTCCGCGACAGACCTTGCCTGAAGCACAACCCTCAAGCCAGGAGCACTGGCACACTAGCCCAAGTCGAGGCGAGTGCTCAAAAAGCAGCCCGAACCCTCAAAACTACACCCTAACGGTCCAAAGACCCAATAATAATATCTAGGTTCATATTTGGGAGAGTATATGACTATATTAGGTACGTGAACGCTCAAAACTACAGCTGCTCCCACGGGCAGCCGCCCCTTCCGCCGGCCTTCGGATTCTTCTGGGCCTGGGGCTTCGAAAAGCATGGCGATCAAGCCAAGGTTCAGGGTTTAGTGTTTAGGGTTCAGGGTTTAGGGTTTATAGGGTTTAGGGATCTCACCACTCCGGGGAAGCTTGAGGCTTTCAACACAATAACATGTCCGCGCCTTCCCCCTGGTTTTGAAAGCTTTTGGTTCATCTATGCTGTACCTCTCGGGATCGGTGCGGCAGTTCTGCAGCTCAGAAAAGAATCGCTGCGACTGCTTTTTTCGGAGTTTCGATCTGCTGTTGCCCATGTTAAGTCTGAGACCTCCCGCGTGACTCGCCAGCCGGCCCAGAGCACCACCCACAAACAACGACCGCAAACTGTCGAGGAATTTCGTCGACGACTCCATGGCATCCAGCCTGCCCGAAGAAGGACTCACCGCCACCAAAACGAGACGCGGACATACTTTTGTGGTTGTTCAATAGCGGGTGCCGGCTGGACGCAGATTTTTTTGGAAGGCCGTCAATGGCCATCAGCACAATCAGCACAATGCTTGATCCCACTACGATCTACGTGAGCAGAACTGACCTGAACTGACAGCATGCTGAGCTCAGTGCTTATGGGCGGCAACCGCTGCACCTGTCCCGGGCTGCAGACTGCATCAAGCCAGATGTGTCACAGGCCCTTGATTTGCGCCCCCTGGCACTCAGACGTGCAAAAAGCTCTCCATCCCAAACCAACTGCCCAAGTCTCGGTATTCATCCATCATGTGAGACTTCTGGCAGCCTTACCAACTTATCAGGCATTACACTCAAGCACTCCCTTACGGTCGCGTCTCCGAGGCACGAGAAATCCGTTCAGGCCTCTTCGGCCGGACGCGAGTCTCAACACGAGCTAGGTGAAAGAACGTGCTCCGAAAACCAGCTCAAACATAGGTGATCCATCCATGAACAAGATGCTCACATGTGCGGAATGCTCAGCAGCCACCCTTGACGCCTACTGGTACTGGTCTAACACGAGTCCCCGCCTCGGGCAGAGGGTCGAAGAGGAGCTCGGTGGGTGCTGGGATGCTGTTGCTGTCGGTGTCCCAGACGCTCGACGTCTTCACCGCTGCCGGGGCTTTGGGCTCGCTGCTGGCTTTCGGAGGCGATGCAGAAGAGGTGCCCTGGGTTGCCTCGACCCCGCTCTGCTTGTGCGGTGCTGCTGCTTGATCCTGTCGGCTGGGATTCTCCGCCGCCTGGGCCAAGGCGGCCTGGTGCCTCTTCCTCGCGGCTTCCGCCACCCGCGGGGAGTCGGCCTCCCGATACGAGAGCGCCGCATCCTGGTACTTCACACCGCCGAGGAACTCAAGCCAGCCACCCGGGATGTGCTCGTTCACCTTTGGTGGTCATTTCAGGGCGCCCCAACATGTAGATGAAGAGACACAAGTTGCAACGCATTACGACAAACTAACTAAGCAGATGAAAACTTCTCCCCAAGTACCTCCAAGTCACCACAACAGCGAGAAGCTGCGCTCGAGTGATGCCTCGGTAGAGCTGTGCCCGGGTTTGCAAGTCCTCTGTTGAGCTCTGGATGGCCGAGTCCAAGCCTGCACACACTACAATCATCTGCTCCAGACCATCAGCCTGCTCCATAGCATCCACGACGAGGCTTTCTTGCTTCTTGGTCTGCTGCGGGCTCCGTCGCAGAACCCTCTCCGGCAGGACCTCAAGCGACTCCACGAACGACTCCAGGCGGAAGGAGCGATGTGAGAAGTGCTGGTTCAGGTTCGTCTGCAGGCGCGGACGCAATCTATCCAGAAAGTCCTTGTCGGGTGTCAGGATTGCAACGCGACGATGCAGTGCCACACCCGGGAAGACCTGTTCGATGTACACCACGGCCTTCACTATCTGCCGGGCATACTCGTCGAACTTCTTTCCCTGCTCTTCCAGTTGAAACAGGAAAGTTTTCAGAGGCGGTCCGTCTGTCCCCAAAGACGTCACTGTCTCCGAAGTGTCCGCGTGAAGCTGGAAGGCTGCTGCTCCGGCCACGATGCGCTTCGTGCTGCGGACCACTTCGGTCAGCTTGACCCTCTGCATCTCCGGATAGCTGTGGCTAATGGCTGAGGACTGAGATTCGTCGGACAGCAGGAGCCGCCGACGTGCCGCGATTCTGTCTTCAATCATCTTGCCCACGGTGGAGTCGTTGTGCAGGTAGCTGTGGCTTTCGTCGCAGACCACAAGCTGAAAGTCTTGGGGACCGATGTTCTCTTGCCTTCGGACGATTCGGTCTCCGTCCAGTGACGGTGCCAAAATGTGGGTGTACGGCTGGTGCAGCAGCCTCAGGCGAGAAAACACGTGACGGATCTTGGCAGCGAGATCTGCATCACCTTTGCGGCTTTGTGCCGCGACCCGGGTCGACAGCCACCGCAAGAAGTGTAGGCCCAAAGCCTCATTCGGTGCCACGTACACAATCTTTCCCGAAGCCCTGTCGCAGATAGTGTCCATGACGTGCTGAACTGCCACGAAGGTTTTGCCAGCTCCAGCCGGGGCAGACAAATGTATGTCGTGGCTCACTCCTTGCATCTCGCCCAGCTTTTGTACCTGATGAGGCGTCAGAGACTCCAAGGCAAGAAGGCTGTCCTCGTAGAGTTCGAAAAACCTTTTCTTGTCTACCTGCACCTTCCATGTCGGTGCTTTGCTTGCCAGCTTCTCATTGAAACTCCGCTCGAAGTCGCCATTCAGTATGCTGTCCCTCACCGAATGCAGTTCCATAATGCCAGAGATCCGGATTGTAGCACGGAGCGCCTGGGCACCTGTGGGAAGCCTTGCCGCCTCATGAGCTGTAATCTCCGTGCCGGGTAGGCAGTCGCTCAAGAACTCCAGCAAAACATCATGACCTCAGTCACTCACACCTCCGTGCAGGCCGACGATGTTCAGCCGATTGCAGTGGCTTACAGCGCCTTGTCTTGCCTTGCATTTTGCCCTGCCTTGCCTTTGTCCCTTGCCTGTCCCAGCTGGCCCGGCCCCTGCCTGCCCCGTTCCAATGCCTCCTATTACCATACGCCTTACACCTCACCTTGCAGCTTACACCTTGCACCTTTTCACCTTACCTTCCACCTTACCTTCCGGCTCACCTGCCCCTTTACCTTACCTTACCTTGCCTTGTCTCACCTTGCCTTGCCTTGCGTTGCCGTTGCTTGGCCTTACCTTGCCTCGCCTTACCCCGCTTGCTCTGCCTTACCTTACTTCGAACTGCATTACATTGCATGGCCCGGATATAGGTTACCTTACAGACATGGCATCAAAAAATAGACATTGCATGGTATCGCATGCTGCATTACGCTGCGCTGCATTGCAGCACGTTGATTGCCTTACACAGCATTCTTGCACACCACACTACACTGCTGCGTTTGACGCAGTATGCTTCGCTACTTCGCAGTACACGTCAAGACATACTGCACTCAACAAGCAGCTACTTACGTGTGTATATATATATACATATACATGTTTGTGTATATACATATATGAGAACCATCACACTCAGCTGTAGGTAAAGTATGTACACGTGAAGATAGATAGATAGATAGATAGATAGAGAGAGAGAGAGAGAGAGAGAGATAGATAGATAGATAACTAATCCGCGGACTTGATTAACAAAAGGGCTCACATTTAAAGATTTTTTTCGGGCTCGGATTGGGGTCGGACGAGGAGTTTCAATCGCGGGTGGATTTCGTGTGGGGAAAAGGTACCACATTTAAAGAAAAATATATTTGGAAGGTCTAAAGTTTCAGGGTCGACGGCTTCACACTTGCTCTTCATTTATCGAATCTCTCGCACAAAGCCTTTTCCAGTGGCGTTGTACTAGAGATTCCATACATTCCTACTATTTTTTGATAGACTCCAAAGAGCCCCAAACACCCAAGAGACGGTTTTCTATCAGTTCGACGCCCTCAATTTTAATTGTGGGGGAGGGGGGGGGCCCTACTATTTTAGTCTTTGATTTATATGTTCCATTATGCAGCATTCGTGCAGCATGTGGTACAGTTGATCATGCATCTGCGGCATGTACTGCATTTGCATGCATGCATGCATGCATGCATGCATGCATGCGCGCATGTAGAAATTGGTCATTGCAGAGGAGGAAGTAGCGGCGTGTCGGAATGGCTTCACAGCCTGCGAGCCCAGAGGGCAGGGGCGAACTCACAGCTGATTCCCGCCAGCGCAGGCGCGTTGAGGGCGGGACCGCAGGCTTCCTGGATCTGCTCGACGGACACGCTCGCGTGGCGAAGATCGCATGTTTCGAAGGTTTCCTGCAGGGTCTCTAGCAGCTCTCTAGCAGTCCTAGCAGCTCGAGCCCTGCAGCCGAGTCTCTAGCTTACGCCGGGAAGGGGTTCCAGAAGATTAGGAAGCTTCGCACAGGTTTTACAGAGAAACTTTGCCGGGCATCCGTCTCCTGTGTCTTCTGACATCTCACCAACCATGAGACCCTGCCACCTATGGTACCGCGCGTCTTCTGCCGCACCAATACACCCCTCCGCCATTCCTCTCCACCCTCGCCTTTTGTCTTGGCATATACGGGACAGCCGGCAGTGAACTCGCTCCCAAGGAAGTCGGCTACGTCCACCTCATCGTAGTCCCATTTGCTTCCTTCCTGTTTCTGCAGCCGGTCGAGGGTTGCGAGTTCGCACTTCTGCGAGCCACCACATCCGACGTTGTCCCACAAATCGACCTTCTCTCGCGAGAGCTCTTCCATGGACAGCTTACCTTGCCCCACCTGTTTCGGAAAGAAGACCGCTTTGAGCCGCTGCCCCCTGGCCACAGCTTCGCGGACCCGGTCCAGCCACTTGGGGTACCACGCGCACCCCCAGGAGGCCACGCAGTCGCATTTTTGCCATTGCGCCTCCGCCTTCTTGAGGGCTTCTTCCTGCTCAGATTGCGGGGCCTCGGCTGACCGGCGTGACCCTCGTTGCTGCGCAGCATGTAGAGATGTGTAGAGCACAGGCGCTAGAAAGAGCTGGCGTGCAAAACAAAGAGAATTGTCGCAGGTGCAGGGTTCAGGGCTCGCAACCAAGCTGAGATGCATCTGCGCGCACGAACACCGCGTTCATCGCAGCCGCCATCTCCTTGTGCCTGCAACGGCTTATAATGGCGAGTCCCAAACCTTGCCTTGCAAACAAATCGCAAACATGGGTACTTACAAGTGGCGAAGTCTTGCGAAGTCGGGAATCGAGATTCAATGACTCCTCCAATCCTATCACCACACTAGTGTGCCCAGTCTAGCCGGCTTAGTCTGGCAGCAAATCCTCAAATGCCTGGCTTTCAATGTCTTCTTACTTACAGCCGTGTAGTACGTCACTACACTCATTATGCTACTGCAACAGAGTACCTCGAAAGACATGATAGGACATGATCTTTGTTGTTACGAACTAGACGCATCTTCGCAGGCGCAGAGAGAGGCTCCCCAAAGGTTACCGAAGCACCTCCGAAGTCGCTCATCCGTATAAGGTGGCTGCATGACCATGAGGTATCCGAAGGGTCGCCAGTCGCGAACTCCGTAGATCCTTGCAGTGGCTATTGGGTAAGAAATTTGGCGGGCTTGGCAGGTGTTCCTCTGAGATTTGAAGATCCTTTAATCCCACCGTCCCGACATGCTCCAGGTCTTCATCTCACGTGCATCCTCATGGAACATCCTCCGGAAGGCGGACCCCTCATCCTAAAGCACAGTTTGACGACCCCCAAGCCAAACCCTCGGGATCCTCGGGCAGTGGCACTTCCCTGGGTTCTCGGGATCATCGGAGTGCTGGCCGAGACCTGGAGAACGTCAAGCACGATTCTGGAATAGGGGGAGACTGCAGAAAACAACACACGAGCCGATTGACGATGACCATGCCATAGTGCTGTGATGTGATATGTCACGACACAACATGACCTCTCGGGTGTCATGCAAGGATGCGAAACACGTGATTTAAAAATCCTGACCGGCTCATCGTGTACACCGTACATGACAATCACGTGTCTCACGTATGTGTCCGTGAAATCTAGAATCTAGAAGCCTGATGCGCGCCTCTACACCCGTGCGCGAAGCATACGTGCATCAGACGGTGATGTACTATGGATGCGGCGAAAGATGCATTTACTCGAGGTTTAACCAGCCAAGATCAACCGTGAATGCGGCTAGCCTATATCCATGTGACGCTTATAATGTCATCCTAAACGATGATGCGCTATGAGATGTGGCATTCTATCACAGTACAAACAACTACAGCTAAAGGCAATGGTGCACGCATATACCCATGCGAAGCCCATGATCATCACATACAGACATACTGCCGGCCAACTCAAACATTCCATCGACGTACAACCACTTGAAACGACAAGTACGTTTTGGGAGTCTGGGCGGTTGGTGATTTGTCCTGTGCCTTTATAAACCCACCAAACAATGGATCGTAAAGTGCGGAGACCCAGTATCTCGTAGTACAAGACTATAAGACACTGGCTATGACGCAACTCCAAAGCACAGGGCAGCTACGGGTGCTTCACGGAATGATTCTTAAGCCTTCGGCGGTTGAGTGATGCAGACTCTACGCTGCTGTATGCTCTGCCTGAGGTTTCAGGAAGCGGTGTTAGCCACGTCTCTTCAAAGCAACTGGCGACACTCGAGGCCTGCAATCCAAGACCCCCTAAACTTCTTGTCTTCTGCGCTGAAACTGTGAAAGTCCTCCTAATCTTCTGGACTCAGAAGCCCAAGAAGGGATAAACATAATCACTGAGGCCCCGGGCCATCTTCGGGAGTGCAAAGAAAGACGCAGGCCACGGAGTCTTCGTGGTATTCTTTGACCAATGCTTCCCAACCTGCGCTCGCTGGCAGATCTGTGGGATGGAGGACCTTAAGGACGAAATGAACCCTAAAAGGGTTTAGGGTTTAGGGCTTTATGCCATTTCGGGAGTCATAGCATAATTGTATAGGGCCCCTACTTTTAAGGGTCATTTCGTCGTTAGGGTAGCAGCACGACAAACTCCGACGTACACCCTCCCTCCTCTGAAGACCCTCTTCTGTTTCCTTTCGCCGATGCAACGTTGGATTCTAAACCCTAAACCTTAAACCGATGCAGACGACTGGGAGTCTGCCGGCCTGCGGCGTATTTGCCTGGGAAAGACACCCAGCAGGAGCTCGCGTTCTTGCTGATGTGCCCGTGGTAGCTCTTGGCAATGTTGTCAGAATCAGTTATGGCAGCCTCCTCCTGGACAGAGCGGGCCACGGGAAGCAAATATGCCCTGGTCTGGTCAAGATTTTAAACGCTGTGCAAATCCATCGGGAATGACGGCTTAGTGTTTATATGGTTTAAAGTTTTGTGGTAGTGTAGGGCTTATGGGGCGGAGGGGCAGCCATGAAGAGCAACTGCACCTTCCAGACAACACCGCGCTGACACCAGATCTTGCACAGCGTTCCTGTCCTTCAGAGTGAGGTACAAAAATTCCTGCAATGGCCCCGACGAGGAGGACATCAGCGCTCCTGTCACCGGGATAAAGGCGGGTCAGTGCCGGGTGCAGGCACGTTTAATCTGCAGGGTGAATGCGGGTGTTCTGATCTCCGCAGCCCCCCGCAAAATGGTCTGCAACATTCAAAAGTAAACGAAGTGATGTACATATCGCGAAAATCACTTTTCCCGCCCTTTGAACTTGAGCAAGCGCCTTCTGGCAGCTCGTCGTTGACACCGATCTGCACCTGCGATGTTGCGGGCGGTAGATGGAGGGTCCAGATTAGACTTGTGTAGGAGACAATTAGCTGCGGTGTTGCAGATGAACGTTGGGGTATGAGAGCTGGTCACTCGTTGTGCGCCTGCCTGTAGGGGTTGTCGGTTTGCAGTTGAATCCACGGAGTTGTTGCTGGGGTCGCACATGAAGCTAACTAAACTCTCAGCCTTACCGGAGACGAAACGAAACCCTATTGGGCCTAAAGATGATCTAAAGCATCAGTCCAGTCCCCTTCATGTGTGGGTTTCCGGCAGTCGGAAGACATGGGTGAACTCACCCTAACTCAAGCGATCTCGTCCAGTCGGATCAAGGCCCTGGAGTTTGATGACAGAGTGAAACACCCTCGGTACGAACATCATCAAAAATTTCTCCGGCCTCCGGCCCTGCGCGGAATAGGGTGCCGAACTGGCTGATCATCGCAGCGTGGATCGCCTCCTTCGTGCTGACCCTGGCAAGAACGGCTTGACTCGTTGTCAAATACAGAGAAGCCCGCACATGCTCATGCACAAGTGCGCACTCACCGGAAGAGAGCTAGAACAACCAGAGACTGCGGCTGTTGAGCAAGTATAAGCTGCTGTCTCACTTCCTACGACAACCCCCACTTTTAAAGATCGCCGGAGGGGACCCGAGGCGCCCGCGATCAGTGCCCACTCGGCCCTGGGGAAGCTGGGCTTTGCTGCAGTGCTGCAGCTCTCTGAGACAGAGTGTGAGTGTGTCGAGGCATCGGATTGTTTTAGAACAACTTGTTCTTTTAATCAATCCGAAGTGCGATTTCAGGACTGCTTTGCCGATCTCAGGAGAGCATACGAGTAGGTACTTTACGGTTCCTCCTTGCCCCTTGAGGTCGTGAACTGCCAAACACTGCCGGGAATGTAAACTTGAAGCCATTCTCAACCCCAAACCCTAAGCCCCAAACCCTAAACTCAACAGCCGGCCTCCCGAACCACTCTGCCTAGAACTCTCAAAGCAACTGAACTGAAGTCAACTGAAGATGATTTCTCAACCGCTAGCCGCTTGCCATAAACCCACAGCTGAAGCGATTCAGCTGTACCTCCTCTTGATATCTTCGGTGCTCTGATTCTTCATCGAGCTTCTGCCAGGAATTTAGAGCTTCGGGGCGTACCAGGCCATACCGTATCGGGTGGAAAAAACCGTTTCGAGATTTGAGTATAGACTTGTTGGCTCAAGTTTGTGTGTGTGCTTGGAAAAATTTGCTGCGAAGCTTGCAGTTGCACTCAACTCGAACAGCCATGCTGGCATTGGATGTTGCTGCCTTTCTTTGATCGACCCGGCCTGCACGGAACTCGTCCCCATCGGTTCTGTCTCGGGCCGCATCTCGTCCTCCCAAGTCAAACCCCCCTATGTCTCGGACAAGCACGGATTTTGGGTTGAGGGTTTGTGCTATTGCGCCATCAGCAGTCACCACCATCGATAAGAGGACGAAGACTCTTGGTAACAACCAACTGGCATCGGGACTGTAGACCAGGTCAACCCTGCCTTCTCTTGAGGCTCTCGCTGCTCGGTGTTTTCATCGCCGAGCATCTGCCAGGATGTTCGGCGTCCACGAATTGTCAAGCGAGGAACCGCGGTTTCGAGATTTGGGTGTAGGCTATTTGGGTCAGGTCTTCTGTGCTTAGAATGCTGGGAACCTCGGCTATGATACTGGCGTAGATTGCATGTTCAGTCTGTCACTTTGTCTTCAACCCGTCAGCGGCTGCTGGCACGTCACGTAGACCATGTAGTTTAACCGAGGTTTTGTCAGTTTTGTCAAACTAGAATCACTCGGGACCGTGCAGAGCGGAAATGGGTAGCACTGGGCACGGAAACGCAGGCACAGGTGAAGGGTCACGGCCTGCAAGGAGCCTCGGAAGGCTTCCGGCTGTAGAGATGTGCGATGCACGTACATGCCACTCCAACACACATGCGGCTTCAGGTTTGTAAAGGGTTTACGGTCGTTCAGGGTTGGGAGCTCGCTGACATCGCTTTGAACTCCCATCGACCGGGCCTCCACTAAACTCGTCTCGATCTGGTTTGTCGGTGTTTGCATCTCGTCCTCCGAAATCAATCCACATCGAGGTCACGCTACAACGCATTCACTTCCCGGTCAACGTGGGGCTTCCTATCCGAAACACAACTGGAAGTATCCGGAATTCCCAGACCGTGGCCAGCCAAGACGACGGCTCCGGTACGAAAGGAAATGTTTTGCTGCCTAAGGAGGCCGGTTGCAACGTCTTGCAAGGCTCCTTGTCCTTTCCAGTGTCCAGCTCCTGTTTCGCAGCTGGAGTCTTTGAGACTGTGAGTGCGTTTGAAGAGTACGTTGCATCCTTATACTTACAGCTGTTTCCGTCAAGTGAACCGTCGGTCACGCTTCAAGGGTTGCAACCGACCTTCGTGCAAGAGGAGATCTCCAACAAGCCCAGAAAAGTTCGAGCAGGTCGGCCGAACACTCTGTGTGGAGCTGCCACAAAAGAGAGAGCACCCTTGCGGATCCCGGCCTCGTCTTTTGGCACAGTGTCTGGTGCGGCCTAGCGCATGCGACAACACATGGCCCAGCAACCCAAGCTGAAACACAAAGGCTTGACAGGTAGCCCGGCAATGGAAAGTTGCCGTCGACATGAGGTGTATGTTCGGTGCAACTCTCGTTGAGAGCTGGCCCCAAATCCCGGTGCCTGTGATCTCTAGTTAAGTACAAGTAGATGCCCTCAGCGCCCTCCGAAACAGAGTCTGTGAGGCGAGCCTGAAAAATCAGAGTTCCACCCTAAACCCCTTAGACCTCGAACCCTCGAAGCATCGCTTGGCTTTTTGACCCGTGCCGAGAAGCTGCAATGGGCTGCTCCATCTTTGCAAAAAACTTCTCTTGGACCTCGTTCGTGTCGAGGTGGGGGAGGTGTAAGTCTTATAAGGGTTTAAAAAAGCTACTAGGGTTCAGGGTTTCGGGTTCAGGATGGCTTAGGATGTAGGCCTTGTATGCTTGAGATTGTGCGTTTCTCTGTTTGTCTCTGTCTCTCTCTTCTTCAAAGCATACGGAGCATCTGATGCCCTCAATGAGTATGGGGCTTTCGGGAGGACTGTGACACACAGTGCAAACCAGCTCTGTGTGTGTGTGTGTCTCTCTCGCCCTATCTCTCTCTCTTTGTCTCTCTCTCTCTCTCTCTCTCTCATCCGTCCAGTGATCCCGTTTCTTTCTTTTGCCGGGTACCCTCTCTTCGAGAATCTTCGCGAATCACTACAAGCTGGTGGGGGAATCAAACCATGAAACAGCTTCCTGATAGTATACGGGCAGAGATCATATCACCAATAAATCCTGCGACTTGAGGACATGGGAGAACAAACAGCCGACTGCCAGGGATGTCCAATGAACCACGCCTGTCACAGTACTGGGACAAGGATACATGTCCAAGTCTCCTGAACCGATATCCTGAGCCACAGAGGGGGCATGGTTGCAGGGACCCGCCCATCCTACCGTTGGCCACCAGCACCACCACCACCACCACCATCTACACCGGCAACACCAATCCCCACAGACAATGCCGACGATTGGCAACTAAAATACTGCGCACGAATACATTGCATGCGACTTCTCCGAGAACCCCTTGTGCCTTAAACCCTAAACCTATACACCATAAAGCCACACATGCAAGGCTCGCGACCCTCACCCGCGCCGTCTCGCAGGGCTTCAAGCATCTAGCGGCCCGTGGGGGAGCGCAGATTATGAGTATCTAGAGCATCCCACCCCGCGACTCGGGGATGGTGTGTATGGCCCTGCATGGCTCTCTATTTGAACATACGCCCAGGCACCCGGAGCAAGCTGGCGAAGAGCTCTCTGGTCGTTGCAAGTTGTGCGTCTTGCTGGGCCTTGGCAAAGACCGGGGGGGGTTATGCTTTGAATCACCAGCCAGAATCAAATAAATCCATGACTGTCACAAACTGACGACAGCAGATCAGCTGGGCTCAAAGGCCGGTGCGGGAAAACCACGCATCAGGCAAAAAAACGAAAGGATACGCAAGGAATCTCGCCACTAACACCCGCTAAAACCGGCATTCCTGCATCCACGAACCTGCACGGACATCAGCGACTTCTCCAGCTTGCCGAAGTGCTCGTCCTGTCGTGCCTTGCAAGGAAGAAGAAACCGACCCGCCCCGCCCCTTCCAGTGTTTCACTTACATCACGAGCCGCGCACTTCACGGTACCCTGTTCCATCTGGCATGACAACTCGAGCTTGATGTCCCTCTTGGCCATAGGTTCAACTTTGCAAGCCCCTCCACACAACAAGCCTCACCATCCCAATAACCCCTTTCTGGCATGCCAAGTTTAACCTGGGAGCAATCACCGTGGCCCTGAAGGATGCCATGGACTGCTCCATTTTGCTGAACTGCTCGTCCTGCCGTGCCTGGCAAAAGGGAAAAGCGGACTTGAGGTTTTTTGAAAATTAAAGAGGCTGATCATCTGGTTCTCTCCGCAACACCCTCCCCAAAATCCAACACTTTACGCCACTGTGCTAAGAGGGGTGTAATCTTCGATCATTCACCACTGCCGGAGAACCCGATAGTTCTCGCTTCTTCATGAAGCGCGGTTCAAAGAATGCAGACCGTGCAAATCTATGAGGAATCGTGGCGGCCTGAAGCAACGACAAGGACTTCTCTATCTTGCGGAACTTCTCGTCCTGCCGTGCTTGGCCGAGGCAAGACCGGAGTTGCGTCGGTAAGGTAAAGGTTAAACACCCTCCGCTGCTGCAGGTCTGTGGCGCTTCGACTCGTCTCACGTCTGTGTGTCGCCCCCCTGACATCATCTAATGTACCACTCCCGACTGTTCGAATGGACCACGGTCCACGGGTCATCCAGTGAAAAAGAGACCGTCCACGTACTAAAACGACCCTCCGGCCTCTGCTCGAGCGTGGTCAGCCTTCGCCTGAAACTGTGAGGGCTTGGGACCATGATAAACGCAAACAGAAGCCTGAGCCAACTCCAACGGTTTCAGGGTTGGGGCTTGGGACTTCTAGCGAACGGGGTTTAGGAAGACCGGAAGCTTACGAAGGGAAGTCCCGGACCCCAGCGTACCCGTTTTTCTCAGAAATGCCTTGCCTTGGCGGTCTCCCGGTCCGACAGCTCCTGCGCCAGTCTGTGCTGAGGGCTTGTGAGCTTGCGAATTCCGAACATGGAACTGCTTGCTGGCTTCGGGTTTGGGCTTCAGGGTATTGAGGTTCTAGGGCCGCACCGGCAATGATCATGTTCGTAGACGCTCAGTGGAAGACTTCATTTACCGTGCGTCAATGCGCACCCAAAAGCCTGCTTTCGCAAGTTACCAGCGAACACTTTGGCAACTCGACTGCATGTGCCCCAAAGCACCGGGAAAACTGAGACGCGAAGCTGACCCTGAGAAGGACCTCGGTACCTTTCATACAGGCGCGTAGGCCCTCCCGAAGCTCCTGCTTTAGCGCTTGGTTCCGCTGCCGCAGAGAGAGGCAGGTGGTTCGGCCCTGGCCCTCGCGGCTCCCGGCTCGCCGTCGGAGCCAGTCGATCACGAAACTCTCTGCATCCTTCGCACAGTAAGAAATGCAAAGGTGGAGACAGTGTGAGACGGCTCGCTGCAGGTTTTGAAGGAGTGCCCTGACCCTTTGCAGCGTCTAGCTTACGGTTGCAGCGCATCCCGCCTCGGGCATGCCCTCATCCTGGACCAGGTCCTCGATGAGGTCCGTCAGCAAGGGCTGGACGTTCTCCAGAAGGTACTTCTCTTTAGCAGCCAAACCTCCCCCCGAAACGAGCATCATAGCGGACTAGGGCCTTTGCAGGGCAGGCAGGGGCAGGGCAGGCAGGACAGAACAGGCGACATGCAGGGCAGGGCAGGGCAGGGCAGGGCAGGGCAGGCAGGGCAGGGAGGCAAGGGCAGGGCAGGGAAGGAGAGGGGCATAAACTCAGAATAAACTAGGGCCTTCGGGGAAGGGATGCCGGAGCTCGTCTAGTCTATTCTGCGTTTTGCATTCGAGGCGGTGTAAACCCAGAACAGACTAAGGTGACGAAAATAAATATGCGCATGTCAAAATACCTACACAAAAGGTTATACTACCTCCGCTGGCTTCGGGTCCGGCCGCCAAGCCCATCTTCCTCCCCTCCACCCCTCCACCCTTCTCCAGTCCACCCCTCCCTCACCCTCCACCCTCCTCTCCACCTCCACAGGCAACTGGGGCCACCCAGACGAGCAACAGCGAGCATGAGTTTATTTTCTGCGGGATTAGGGTTCCTAACTTAATGCCGCCTAGAACATAAAACTGGATAAGTAAACCGCACGCGCGTTTTTGTTACCCGGTGCCGCTTGCCGGGGGGTGGCCCAGGGCCTCACCAGGCCGGGCCCACCCATTTTTATATACTCACTTTCATATCGTTGCGCGGCATTAAGTTGAGGCCATTTTGTTATATCTAGTTACAGCAGAGCTCTCACCCCCAGTCTGTCATATACCGACTGGGGGTTGAGAGCCCCGGGGCCAGGGGCCTAAGAGCCTGCGGCTCCCCTTCCGCGGCCCCTAAAAATCAAAATCAATGTGATATATCTATTTCATATAGGGTGTTTTGGGGAAAATACTAGCATGGATTTAAGGGAACTTTCTAGGACAGACCAAAACACACAAGCAAAAATCGCTTGCGCCGGGCCAAAACAACCCGGATTTTTCGCACCAAGAGCATATCGGCATCATGCAGCATCATCACCCAAACAAGCAACCAGACCAAGCATCAAGAGCATGTTTTTCCCCCATCCCCGCACCTCTCCCCGCCCGGTGGGGGCCACACCTACAAATGGGGGGGTACCCCTCATCTTTGCGAAAAAATAAGTCAGGCACCCCCTCGTCCTCGAAACAATCACTCATTTCGAACGAGTAAATAGCATTCTGGTTCCTCAGGGCTCGCAACTGACTCAGAATACTACAGCATTTGATTCACGCAGGTGGAGGGGAGAGGTCGAGAGAGGGAAGGAGGGAGCAGGGCAGGGCAGGACAGGCAGGCAGGGCAGGGCAGCGCAGGGCAGGGCAGGGCAGGGCAGGGTAAACCCAGAACAGACTAGGGCCTTCGCAGGGCAGGCAGGGCAGGGGGCAGGGCGGCCTTGAGGCAAAGGATGCAGGGACTTATGTTGCTATTTGGCGCTCGTCTTTTTTGTCTAATCGCTGGCTTTGTGGCGCAGTTGCCGACTTTCTTTACTAGTTGGCGCTGTGGCGCGCGCTCATCGCTGCAAGCCGGCTTTGCAACGATTCTCCTCAAGCTTTCCATAATGGCCGGAAGAGTCCGAGGCTCAGGGCTTGATTGCGAAACACACACACACACACAGAGACAGACACAGTCCGGATCTGGATATGTGAAGCCCGAAGCTCCGAAACAACCTCACATCTCCTAGACTGCTCCGCAAAACTGGTTCAAACCTTACGCTTAGATTAGGGTTTAGGGTTACGCTTAAACTTGAAAAAGCTGCCCGACCTGCAAGCCCTCGCCCCCGCCTTCTCCGACAGCCATGCACGCTCAAGCAAAGCCGGCCCTCTTTCTGGGCAACGCGAACCTCGGGGGGCGAAGGGAGGAGGAAGCGATTCACAAAGACCGACGTGTAAAGATGGACCAAAACAGCCTTCAAGCCTCCACCGGTACATTTTCGACCCTGCACGCTGGCTGCTCGAAGCGAAGTGCTGAAAAGCCCGGAACCTCAGATTTCGGACCTCCGTGATACGGCCCAGCCTGTAAGTGCTTGCTTCGATTTTATAGGGTGTTTCGGGTTTGCAGTGTTTATAGGCTTTGTAGAGTTTCATTAAGGATTTGAACACTACACATGCAACGATTGGCAGGCTGGATCAGCCTCGCAAGATAGAGCCCAATTAACCCTAAACCCTACACCCTAAAGCCTAAACCCTGAACCCTAAACCCTAAACCCTGAAGCCTAAAGACTAAACCCTAAACCCTAAACCCTGAACCCTGAACCCTAACCCCAAACCCTAAACCCTGAACCCTAAACCCTAAGTTCACAAGGGTCTCAAACAGAAGAAGTCCGACCCCGAGACTGTTCAACTTCCGTTACCTGGAAACCCGAACACTGTTTAATCCCCGACCCTAACTTATTCAACTCTATTAAAGAACCCGAAACTAGCCTATCATCCTGCGTACGGTCTATGTCTCTCTGCCCCAAAGCCTAAAGCCCTAAACCCCAAACCCAAAGCCCAAACCCGAAAATCAGCTTCTCTACCCCAAAGCCTAAAGCCCTAAATCCCAAATCCGAATTAAACCCTAAACCCTAAACCCTACATCCTAAGCCCTAAACCCTATATCCTAAACCCTGATCCCTAAACCCTAAACCTTAAATCCTAAATCCTAAACCCTAAACCCTATATCCTAAACCCTGATCCGATCCCTAAACCCTAAACCTTAAATCCTAAATCCTAAACCCTAAACCCTATATCCTAAACCCTGATCCCTAAACCTTAAACGCTACATCCTAAATCCTAAAATCCTAAACCCTAAACCCAAAGCCGAACCTCCAACAGCAGCTTCTGAGCTCCCGAGCGCAGGGCCCCCGGGGTCGACCCGGTGCCATCGACAAGGAATCCGGGGCTTTGAAGCGCAGCTTTTTGTGGCTTAGAAGCTCCGAGCCCTAAGCTGGGTAGTTCTCTAAATCCCCAACATAGTACGGCGCCCTTAGAAAAAGGAAGGCACCCTAATTTAGACAACTACCCTAAGTGGGATTTTTGGGGGGTTTTGTCGCTTGCAGCTTCTTGGAGTTGGGGGCGAAGTGCTGTTCTAGTCGACGCGAGGCTAAGTTTAGCAGGGTTTCTATTCTATAACTGTCTATACGAGTTCTGTATATGAATGATGCTGTCCATGTCCAGCTACATAGTAGTGTCTTGCTGTGGATGCGTGCAATAACATCGCTTACGAGCTAGTCAAAGTTGCCTGTGTGGCTTTGCATTCGCACGCTACCGGCTCTAGATCTGTCCGATTCCGCACGCCCCGGTCGCTGCAAACAAGCACCATGCGCCAGCCGAGTTGAGTGTCGCGAAACGGCCGCGGCGCGAAGATAGGAAGCTCAAAGTCTGACGATGACACTTCAGACTCCTGCAGTTTCGGTTGACATCCTTCGCTTAGGAGTCTAACTCAGAAAGGCTTAGAACATGACTTTGGAGTACATTATACACTATATAACTATAACCACAAATCAAGACTAAGGAGCAACAGCAGTAACCATCATAACTATGAAGGTCCTGGCGTTTTCACCACACGAACCCTAAGGAGTACTCTTAGAAATAACATGTATCTGAAAGCCATAGCATGCTCGTCCCAGGTGTTTTCACAAAGCCAGCGCATCACCCAGAGACTCCAATAAAGGTATATTCCTTAATTGAGGAATGTGCCTTAAATCTTATTGGGGTTCCTATTATGATTTAAGGTATATTCCTTAATTAAGGGATATTGGAGTCTCTGGGCAGCTTGTCCGCAGATGGGCGATCCCCACTGCATTCCGCAGGAACAGACTGGCAAAGCGAAGACCCTGATCACCAGAAATACCTCATTAAGATGATTAACCTTGTTCTTCTTGCCACTGTTATTCAGTACTATACTGTTGATGAGAAAATTCCTGCAGCCACGAACTTGGATTCATTACCTTAGGCCCGAAGTCCTAAGCCATATTAGGGGTTTAGGGTTTTGGGATTTGGGTTAAGGGTTTTAGGGTCTTAGGGTTTCGGGTAAACCATACGGTTGATGATGTAAATCCTGCATTACCCATAAGAAGGAATATACCATAATTCCCATAGTTTAGGATCCTCAAGGTCATGCAAGGTCTCTATCATCAACAGTACCTCATTAAGATGAATTAACCTTGTTCTTCTTACTTCTATCATTCCTAACAGTAACATCCATAGTATGGTTGTTCTTGCTGTTCTTCTAGTCAGTAATATTAGTAGAACAGTATCACTTTCATTGAAACAAGATCATTGAAACAGTATTCTTCTCCTACTTATTGTACCTCCACATCTCCTTCGCCATAACGACTCTTAGATGTGCCCTGTCTGGTCTGAACTCAAGCGACTTAACCGAAACATGCCAAGCACTTCGGAAACTGTAGAAGTTCGATCCATCTAAGTCGCAAAAGACTGAACCTCGCCTAATGCAGGGGCCTGAATCATTAGAACAGGGTTTTGGGGTAAACTATAGCATAAGTATATTAAGGAACCCCCCCAAAATAGTATTGGTAACTATTCAGCTCCCTATATTAGTTCTTAACAGGGCATGGAACTTGCAAAGCAGGACCACCACGGCCCAGCCAGCGCTTAGCTTAGAAGCTGTTGGAAAACAAGACCGACCCTGAGCCCATGACCCCAACAATGAGTAAGAGGGTGAGGAGTTCAACATAATATGGGGGCCTTAATAATTAAAATAGGGTTTTGGTGCGTTTCCTTATTATAATTAGCGAGCGTAGAAACCCTATTCTAATTATTAAGGCCCCTATAGTACTCACGTGAGGACCCCGTGCTGTTGAGGTCTCTTCGGGCATTCGTGACACTTGGGGACCAATGGCTCAGGACTTCGAATTGCATGCAATGACCCCAAACTCTAAAACCTAATTCCCAAAATCCTGAACCGTAAACACTAATCCCCAAAATCCTAAACCCTAATCCCAAAAATCCTCAACCCT